CCGGTGGCCACAGCTGGGAGCGAAGCAGAGGGCCCGCAGCTCCTTCAGCCCCCACCCACAGTCAGCTCTCCTTCACCAAGGCCCCTGGGGCTGAAGGAGACAGCAGGGGAAGATTCCTGAGACACAGGGGAGGGCAGAGGGGCCTGTGGGGCTGAAGACTCCAGGGTGAGCCCGTGGAGGAGGCGAGGAGGAAATACTGATGTCTCAGGATCCTGGCCCTGGTGGGTGGCAAGTCCTCGCCCTTTGTGCACCCTTACGTCTCCCCCACAGTGGGCCAGTGTGGGGGCCCCTCGTGAGTAACAACAGTCCCCCACACGCCCCTGGCTTTCAGCTCACGCTAGAGGAGGCAAAGGGGAACCTAAGGCCCTGGAGGGGTGGAAAGATGTGATACATTTCCTCATCTTTCACAACAGTCGGGGCACATGCCCCTCTTAACAGAGGACAGCTGGGGCGGCAGGTGGCATGGGGGTTAAGGGCGCTGGACTCCCACTTGAATAACTGCAGTTCAAATCCCAGACCTGGCGGCTTACTTTCTCACTTTCCCCGCCTCTCTCACTCTGCCACTCTAAAATAAGCATAAATAAACAAAGTTTAAAAATAAAAATAATTATTAAAAGAAAAACAAGAAAAACTAAAGGACAACTTAACAAGAGAAAAGCATAACACATTTATTTCATCTTGCTTTTACACAACAAAAGAATCTTCAGAACTGAAGACCCCCAGACTCAGGGAAAACTATCCTTTTTTTCTTTTTTTTAAAAGAATTATTTTTATTTTAGGGGGCCAGCAGGTGGCATGGTGGTTAAAGGTGCGGGTCCCCACATGGTCAACTGCGGTTCAAGCCTCAGACCTGGCGGCTTGCTTTCTCGCTTTCCCTTTCTCTCTCTGTCTCTGTCTGGTCAAATTAAAAAATAATAATAACAAATAGAATTAAATTTTAAAAATTCTAAAATTTTTTTAAATAATTATTTTTTATTTTAACTTTATTTATTACTATTTTCTAATTTGACCAGAGAGAGACAGAGAGAGAGAGAGAGAGTGAGAAAAGAAACCAAGTCCAGGACCTGAACTATGGTTGGTCATGTGGGAGTCCAGCGCCCCATACCACTTGCCGACCCCGAAAACTATCCATTTCTATGCTCCGATTTGATGAAGAATGTAGAAATGTCATTTGCCCTTTGATGAAAAAGGGTATTATCTAACGGGAATAGCCTAGCGGTAAGGGGGAACCCAGCAAGGCCTGCCCAGACTCATCTTGGTCCGTCTGTGTGGCCATTCTTCTTTCTGGGTATGGGACAGGATCCTTCTGGAATGAGGGTCTTATGACCTACTATCAGACAAAGTAGGTCAGAGATTTGGTTCATGGCCAGTTCTTACACAGACAGATGGGGGAGAGATAGAATGATATTTCTAGGCTTTGTGTATGGCTTTGGGGAAGAGTGAGGAATTGTAGATAATTTGGTTTGCCTTGGGGGAAAAAGGGGAAACAGATGAAGAAAAGCAGGAGGGACCAGCAGTTAGCATAATGGCTATGTCGCTGAACTCCCATGTAGCCGACCGCGGTTCGAGTCCTGGACCCAGTGGCTTAAACTCATGCTGGGCGCGTGTGTGTGCGTGCCCAAGACCCCGAGAGGAGAATGGAGGAGAAGGGATTGTGGTGTGGCCATCCCCCCTGGGGGGTGATTTCTTGCTTTCTGTCTCTCTGTCTCTCTCTGTCTCTGGCTGTCTGATGAGCACACCCTATAGCAAAATCCTCTCCAAAAAAAAAAAAAAAGCAGGAGAAGGTCAGAGAGAGACTTTACTTTGGAGGTCTGGCTTCCTTCGGTTTCAGAGTACTCAGGATATCCAAGTGCCATACTTTGGGAGTATTGTGTTCTGAACCCCAGAACTTTATCTAGGTCACCCCAGTGGGTCACCCCGCCCCCACATCACACCGCACGGTCTTGGTTTTCCCCTGTAACCTCTGGCCAAGTGGAAGGAAAGCCTGACTTCTGAGCTCAGTGAGCACTTAGTTCTCTGGGGCTCCATTTCCAACACCATGTTTGTCTCTGACTCTGTCTCCAAAAGAGTCTTGCAGGGGGAGGAGGGTGCTTTTCTCTTCCCAGTTCACTCAGTTCACACCCCTCCTTCCATCATCTGCCGAGGAGATCATCGAGGGCCAGCCAGTGGCATGTGGTTAAGGTGGCTGGATCTCGTGGTCGACTGCAGTTCGAGTCCTGGACTCAGCGGCTTGAAGAACACACTGGGCACATGTGTGTGCATGGCCCAAATCCCGAGAGGAGACTGGAGGAGAAAGGATTGCGGCGTGGCCATCCCCTTGGGGAGTGATTTCTCTCTCGAGTACATGTGCTCTATAGCAAACTGGAAAAACAAAACAAAACAAGACACTTCCCGGCAGCGAAAACCTCCCCATGAGAACATGCCCCTTGGAAAGGACCCCCTTTGCCCTCCTCCAGAAGAGAAGAAACGCGAGAAGTGTCTGGTGCAGAGCCCAAGTTCCTACTTCACGGATGCGAAATGCCCGGGAAGCTGTACAATCCCCGTGCAAACTGTTTGTGTGAGTCGTGCACAAACAGCCGTGCACACAGTAGCTCTGTGCCCTGGCTGTCCCACTGTCCTCCGCTGGCTACAGGAGGAAAAGCGAGGGACCAGCAGTTAGCGTAATGGCTATGTCACTGGACTCCCACGTAGTTGATCGCAGTTTGAGTCCCGGACTCGGTGGCTTAAACTCACGCCGGGCGCGTGTGCGTGCGTGCCCAAGATTCCGAGAGGAGAATGGAGGAGAAGGGATTGCGGCGTGACCATCCCCTCTGGGGGGTGATTTCTCGCTTTCTGTCTCTCTGTTTCTCTCTGTCTGTCTGGCGAGCGCACGCGCCCTATAGCAAAAACCTCTCAAAAAAAAAAAAACAAAAAAACAAAACAGGAGGAAAGGCGAGGCTGACAGAGGACGTGTCTTCAGGGGGAAGCAGCACTAGCGGCATCCTGAATCAAGCCCAGCAGGAAACCATCCTGATAAACACATTTTGGGGGGGAAATCAGTGTCGTGTGGGTCCTTCACCCACATCTTATTCCTTATTTCTTACTTTCTTCAGTCTCTTCCATTTCACCGAGAGAATGGAAGGGATGGACCGGCTGGGGGCTGGGTAAGGAAGGCACAGTATCCATCCAGGGCCTGGCTGAGCAGGTGCCCTGCCGGTCGGGCGTCTGTCCCTGGTGCCCCGGAGGTGGCGGCAGCTCCAGCTCCCTCTGAGAGGTACGGGGCAGGGACTGGTGCAGGTCGCACAGGTGGGGCGAGCTGGGGGCGCTGGAGATGGGGATTTGAGCCTAGATGCTCCAATCCCTGGAAGTCCCTTGGCTGTGATTCAGGTGCCGGAGAATGCAGCTCCTCCCCTGGTAGCAACAGCCGGAAATCTTACCTGAGCACAGGACTTTCCCGAGCAGGGACTGGAATTCCCAGAGCTGGAAAATCCCGTGCCCTGAGGGAAGCCATAATTAGGTTCAGGCTCCTGTCTCCTGGGGGAGGGAGGCCATGCAGCCTGGCCTGGTTTATAGGGGCAGGATCTGAGGGTTCATCCGCATTGCATTGCGGGGAAAGAGCTTTGGGGAGCTGTCTCCCACTCCCGAGAAGAGACAGGTAAAGAAACCACCCTGGAGGCACATAGCACGTTTCTTGTCTAAGCACATTTTATTTCTCGCCACTGACCAGTAGGACGACTACAGACACAACTCCCCTGGGGAGCAGAGGTTCAGCGATACAGCGACAGTCGGTCACCAGATCAGCATTAATGAGATACCTTGATCAAATAAATAGTTTTTAAAAAATGGAAGCATAAGGAGATCCGGAGGCCGGGAAAGGGGAGCTGCGAACAGCCTGCAGTTCAGCTCCATTTTCACAGAAAACACGTCTGAGCCCAGGCCGCTCTGCCATTGGCTTGCCCCAGAACACCCGGCCTCGCACATAAATACATTCATCAGTAAATAAATAAATAATAAATAAATAATAAATAATGTCAAGTGCAATCATAAATAGAGGGGATGCCCCCACCCCAGGAGGGCTGGGCCCATGTCTCAGAGAAGAATCTGGAAACATCTGAAGAGGAAGGCCTGAGCCCCGTTCATGTCAAGTTCTAGGTGAGGTCTTCTCAAGGAGGTTCTCAAGTGTTCTGGCCAGAACCAAGGCTCCCTGGTCCTCACGGTCCCGGTCTTCCAGGATGAATTCGGAGATCAAAACGTGAGGCTCCCAGGAGTTCTGGAAGGCCCCGTTTGAATTCTTGGTGGCAGCCAGTGCCCCGTTGTCCAGGCCACACCTCCTCACAACCTGGATTTCTAATGACGCCGTTCGAAGCCCTCAGCCTGGAACCTGACCCTGAGCCCCTAATTCCCTTTCTAGCCAGAAGGGAATGAGGAGGTCTAAAAGAATGGATGATGAAAAGATTGGGTGTGGGGTAGGGGGAGGACGGACCTGTGTTCCCCTCACAGGGCAATGACCCCAAAATAGACCTGCCCAGATTCAGCAAAGTCCAGGTAGCGAGGCAGGTTGACCTCGGCGCTCAGTCTGTCACCCTTCTGCAGCTGGAAGACCCCTCCCTGGTAGATGGGCTCGTACCAGGGCTTGGCCTCAGCCCCCTCTGCGGTCTCCTTCTGGCAGGGGCTCTTGATGGCAGAGAGGAGGTTGACCTTGTTGTTGTAGGAGACCGCAACGCAGCTGACGGTGTGGGTGAACAGCACAGGGGTGGAGGGGCAGCCCAGGCCCGTGAAGAGGACCTGGGAGTAGATGAGGTACAGCCCGTCGGAAGGCACCACCAACTGGTTGTCTACCAGCTGCATGCCGTTGGCCAGGAGGGTGTTGGCACGCCGGTTCAGCCACTGGAGCTCCCCCTTGTTTTGGGGGTTTGCTGGAGAGAGGAAGGGAAAGAAGGAGGGTGAGTCAGTGTGACCCTGTCAGTTCCACTCTCCACATCCTGGCCCTCAACTTCTGCCCACCCCCACATCCGGTTCCTGTCCCCATCTGGCCGCGAGGGTCTGAGTATCCCCCGAAGGCCTGTCCCGTTCCTCCCTGCCCCGCGAACTCAGCAAGGCCTCACCCTGTTTCCAAAGTCTGTCTACCCTCACCCTCAATTCAGCTCCCCAATCCTCTCCCTGAGTCCCCAGACATATCCTCAGAGCCCTTACCTATAACGTGAGCCGCAGGCTTGTCACTCGGGATTCCAGATGATCCTAAGGAGGAAAGAGGAAAGAAAAAGCTGAGACCCTGAACTTTCCAGAAAGATCCTCATATTTTGACCTCCATTCCTCTCCCCCGCCACAACCAGAATTGGAAATTTACTCCACTGCTTCCATGCCCAGGACGGATCCCCACCTGCACCCCAAACCAGAATGAGGAGAGAAGCTTTGGAGACACTTACTGAGGGTGAGCGTCTGGGTCAGAGGGTTGACTAGGCGGAGGCCGTCTGGGAGCTGCTGCGGAGAAGAGGCAGGGTGAGCGTCAGGGAGAGTCACCCGGCGGGGGAGCAGCTCAGCGGCTGCTCGTCTGGCCATGCCCTCGGCCTGCTGTCTGGCTCTCTCTCCATTTATCTCCTTGTTCATCTCACCGCCCACTTGGCAGCTCTTCCCCTGGGCGCCTTCTATGTGCCAGACACCTGGTCTTCTCTCTCTATCTTCCCGGCCCTCCTCTCTCCTATCGCCCACGACTCTGTCTGCATCTCCTTCTATCTCGTCATCTTCATTCGTACCATCGTTTCTTCCCCATTTCTCTGCCCACACCCCACCTCTCCCTCTCTGTCGGTATTTCTTGCTCATTCATTCATTCATTCATTCGACATTTAAAGAGCACTTTACACGTGCCGGGAATCCCGTCCGTCCGCCTCTTTCTCTTTCCCCTCACCTCTGCATCTCTCTCCCTGCTTCCACATCTTTCTCCCCATCTCCCCTCCTCTCTCTCCCCTCCCTGCCAGCACACATCTCCCCCTCCTCTGTCTCTCCTGCTCTCTGTCTCCCCCCATTTTCCTCGGAGTGGAAGAGTGAGCGAGGGCTGGCCAGACACTCACCTCTTCTTTCTGGGGGCCGATGACACCGAAGTGCAGCAGGCAGAAGAGCGTGCAGG